TTCAAAATCTGTGGGACACAACAAAGGCAGTCCTGAGAGGAAAATATATAGCGGTACAAGCCTTTCTCAAGAAACAAGAAAGGTCTCAGGTACACAACCTAAGCCTACACCTAAAGGAGCTGGAGAAAGAACAAGAAAGAAACCCTAAACTCAGCAGGAGAAGAGAAATCATAAAGATCAGAGCAGAAATCAATGAAATAGAAACCAAAAAAACAATAGAACAAATCAATGAAACTAGGAGCTGGTTCTTTGAAAGAATTAATAAGATTGATAAACCCCTGGCCAGACTTATCAAAAAGAAAAGAGAAAGGACCCAAATAAATAAAATCATGAATGAAAGAGGAGAGATCACAACTAACACCAAAGAAATACAGACAATTATAAAACATACTATGAGCAACTCTACGCCAACAAATTTGACAATCTGGAAGAAATGGATGCATTCCTAGAGACATATAAACTACCACAACTGAAGCAGGAAGAAATAGAAAGCCTGAACAGACCCATAACCAGTAAGGAGACTGAAACAGTCATCAAAAATCTCCAAACAAACAAAAGACCAGGGCCAGATGGCTTCCCGGGGGAATTCTACCAAACATTTAAAGAAGAACTAATTCCTATTCTCCTGAAACCGTTCCAAAAAATAGAAAGGGAAGGAAAACTTCCAAAGTCATTTTATGAGGCCAGCATCACCTTGATCCCAAAACCAGACAAGGATCCCATCAAAAAAGAGAACTACAGACCAATATCCTTGATGAACACAGATGCAAAAATTTTCACCAAAATACTAGCCAATAGGATTCAACAGTACATTAAAAGGATTATTCACCACGACCAAGTGGGATTTATTCCAGGGCTGCAAGGTTGGTTCAACATCCGCAAATCAATCAATGTGATACAACACATTAATAACAGAAAGAACAAGAACCATATGATACTCTCCATAGATGCTGAAAAAGCATCTGACAAAGTACAGCACCCCTTTCTGATCAAAACTCTTCAAAGTGTAGGGATAGAGGGCACATACCTCAATATTATCAAAGCCATCTATGAAAAACTCACCGCAAATATCATTCTCAATGGAGAAAAACTGAAAGCTTTCCGATAAGGTCAGGAACACGACAGGGATGTCCATTATCACGACTGCTATTCAACATAGTACTAGAAGTCCTAGCCTCAGCAATCAGACAACAAAAGGAAATTAAAGGCATCCAAATCAGCAAAGAAGAAGTCAAACTATCACTCTTCGCAGATGATATGACACTATATGTGGAAAACCCAAAAGACTCCACTCCAAAACTGCTAGAACTTGTACAGGAATTCAGTAAAGTGTCAGGATATATAATCAATGCACAGAAATCAGTTGCATTCCTCTACACCAACAACAAGAAAGAAGAAAGAGAAATTAAGGAGTCAGTCCCATTTACAATTGCACCCAAAACCGTAAGATACCTAGGAATAAACCTAATCAAAGAGGCTAAGAATCTATACTCAGAAAACTATAAGGTACTTGTGAAAGAAATAGAGGAAGACACAAAGAAATGAAAAAATGTTCCATGCTCCTGGATTGGAAGAATAAATATTGTGAAAATGTCTATGCTACCTAAAGCAATCTACACATTTAATGCAATTCCTATCAAAGTACCATCCATTTTTTTCAAAGAAATGGAACAAATAATCCTAAAATTTATATGGAACCAGAAAAGACCTCGAATAGCCAAAGGAACATTGAAAAAGAAAGCCAAAGTTGGTGGCATCACAATTCCAGACTTCAAGCTCTATTACAAAGCTGTCATCATCAAGACAGCATGGTACTGGCACAAAAACAGACACATAGATCAATGGAACAGAATAGAGAGCCCAGAAATAGACCCTCAACTCTATGGTCAACTAATCTTTGACAAAGCAGGAAAGAATGTCCAATGGAAAAAAGACAGCCTCTTTAATAAATGGTGTTGGGAAAATTGGACAGCCACATGCAGAAAAATGAAATTGGATCATTTCCTTACACCACACACGAAAATAGACTCAGAATGGATGAAGGACCTCAATATGAGAAAGGAATCCATCAAAATCCTTGAGGAGAACACAGGTAGCAACCTCTTCGACCTCAGCCGCAGCCACATCTTCCTAGGAACATCGCCAAAGGCAAGGGAAGCAAGGGCAAAAATGAACTATTGGGATTTTATCAAGATCAAAAGCTTTTGCACATCAAAGGAAACAGTTAACAAAACCAAAAGACAACTGACAGAATGGGAGAAGATATTTGCAAACAACATATCAGATAAAGGGCTAGTGTCCAAAATCTATAAGGAACTTAGCAAACTCAACACCCAAAGAACAAATAATCCAATCAAGAAATGGGCAGAAGACATGAACAGACATTTCTGCAAAAGAAGACATCCAGATGGCCAACAGACACATGAAAAAGTGCTCCATATCACTCGGCATCGGGGAAATACAAATCAAAACCACAATGAGATACCATCTCACACCAGTCAGAATGGCTAAAATTAACAAGTCAGGAAATGACAGATGCTGGCGAGGATGTGGAGAAAGGGGAACCCTCCTACACTGTTGGTGGGAATGCAAGCTGGTGCAACCACTCTGGAAAACAGCATGGAGGTTCCTCAAAATGTTGAAAATAGAATTACCCTATGACCCAGCAATTGCACTACTGGGTATTTACCCTAAAGATACAAACGTAGTGATCTGAAGCAGCACGTGCACCCAAATGTTTATAGCAACAATGTCTACAATAACCAAACTATGGAAAAAACCTAGATGTCCACCAACAGATGCATGGATAAAGAAGATGTGGTATATGTACACAATGGAATACTATGAAGCCATCAAAAGAAATGAAAGCTTGCCATTTGCGACAACGTGGATGGAACTAGAGCGTATCATGCTTAGCGAAATAAGTCAATCGGAGAAAGACAAGTATCACATGATCTCCCTGATATGAGGGAGAGGAGATGCAACATGGGTGGTTAAGGGGGTAGGAGAAGAGTAAATGAAACAATATGGGATTGGGAGGGAGACAAACCATAAGTGACTCTTAATCTCATAAAACAAACTGAGGGTTGATGGGGGGAGAGGGGTTGGGAGACGGGGGGTGAGGTTATGGAAATTGGGGAGGGTATGTGCTATGGTGAGTGCTGTGAAGTATGTCAACCTGGCGATTCACAGATCTGTACCCCTGGGGATAAAAATATATGTTTATAAAAAAGAAAAAAAATGACTTCTGAACCCACCAATAAAAATAAATAAATAAATAAAATGGTGAATAGGATTTAAATTGTCAAACATATACATGTATATTTACAATTTTATTTAAATATTTATTTATTAACTAAAATTTTAATTTATGCCTTCCAAATAGCTAGACACCAGTATGTGAGCCTCTATTTATTTATACTTTTGCTCTGGTTCCCTGAAATGCTACTGACAGGTCTGCTTAGCCCAAATCCATCCACTTCCTTTGGTAAATTATGCAAAAACTCCTGTTGTGTATTGTATAAAAATCAGAAAATACAAGTGAGTAAAAAACAGGTAAAATTACCCATTAACCTAACACCCATAGGACACTACTAACATTCTCAGAGTATACACCAAAGATTATATATGAGATAGTTGAATATATATACTTTTTCTTTATAAAAAGTGTAGCATGTGCTCTTGTAGCCTATTTTCCCCCACTTAAGATTATATGCTAATTTGTTTCCAAGTAAATAAATGTAGATGCCTATCACCATTTTCAATTGCTACAAAATGTTTCAATATGTAGACACACCCTAATTTGTCTAGCCAAGTGCCTATTTTGAGGCCCTTGGGTCATTCACATGTTTTCACTCTTCAAACACTATGAAGACGCACAGCTTTGTACAAGCCAATTATTTGATCGTTTTCTATAGATAAATTTCTACAAGTGGGATTACTGGCTCAAAGGGCACACACATCTTAAAGACTTCTGAAACATGTACCCAAATGGACCTTGTACGGATGTATGCTCCTACCAGCCCAGTTTGAGAGCGGCCCTCCCACCACACCCTCACCACACTCTAGGGTGGGAGAGAGGTGGTTCTTCTACAGTATTGATGCCAATACCACTCTCAATGATCCTATAAAGACCCTGCCTTAGTCAACCTTCTAAATGAAACCTGATAGAAGCACTAAATATTGTTCTTTCTTCTATTATACTTTCTTATTATTTCAAAAAATAACTAATGTATTTACTGACATAAACACCAGATTTGGCCAAGAAAGAGAGTGTTTTCCAATGAAGTGCTACCAGGATCCTAAAATAAAATTGTTCCTCTCTGTATGCCCTCAAGATATGTTCCATCACTTCTTTGTTCTAAGAGTCTCTCACTTCCTTCCTCCCCTTGCCATTCCTGTGGCCAGTAGTGAAGTCTCACACTTCTATCATCTCATGCCTGGACCATGGCAGTGACTTCCTAACTGGTGTTCCAATCTCCAGTGGCCACTCCTTTCCCCACCCCAAATCTGACCCAACCTGCACACAAATAAGTTACATCCTTTTCCTTTCGTTTTCATTCCTCTGGGCACAGAAGGCTTTGGGGCCTTCCAGGGGTGGAAGGAGTAACATTCAAATACCCAGGTTTAGCAATCAGGGATCCTGCATGAAGGGGTTCTCCCAGACTGATGGATTACATTTCCCGTCATTCCTCTCCCCGCACTTGGAACTTCAGGCAGGCCAGCCTCCTCTCTGGATTGGGATTCCCACCTCCATGCCTTTCTTCCCACCACTCCACCCTCCTCCAATGCTCTCCCACCCCATTTTTATCCTATCCTTCAAGCCCAGCTTATTTAAACATCCCCCTCCTCTGCACAACTTTGCCTGAGCACTGCTGCCTGAAGACATTTCTGCACCGACAGGAAGGATTTGGACAGAGGCTTGCAGTTTTGTTAGTATGTTTTTGTTTCCATACATCTTGCCTTTCCAAATAGATCATAAACTCAAGGACAAAGATGTGTCTCTTTTTTTCTGCTTAAAACACACAACTTTATTGATAACATAAAAATAGTCTCAAATGTAGAAACACAAGTCCACACAAAGGACCAAAAATTACCTTACTCATGAAGAATCAGGTCAGTTTCTGCTCATGAAGCATACTAAAAATATCTCAATCCAGACAAGGTAATAGTCAACACATGTATTTTCAGTACATTTCATGTCCATAAAGTGATCCAGCTACAGACCATCACAAGTAATATCAGTTTCAAAGTTGTAATGCAATTTACAATGTGCATTACTTCCAGACCGCAAAACCAAAATATTACTCAGATTTGTTTGGGAACATACAATTAATCAGAGTTTACTTAATAATAGCTCAACTCTTTCTTTCACCTCAGGGTCACTGTACTCTGCTGCTAAGACTCGGAGCTTCTTGGCACAAGCTTTAGGTCGTTGGAATATGAAGTAAAGGGAATTTTTACTGAACTTGTCCTGGGTAAATACTTTTGCCCTTCTTTTAAAATGGTAATTTATATTTTCAAATAGTGAAAGAGCATTAAGAATATTCTCTTTTGTCTCTTTCTTGCTAAAGATATTAATCAGTGATGTTGGTGCATTGGCAATGAGTAAGTCTTTTGTCATAGACGGATTTTTAGAGAAATTCAAAAGCATTCCCAAAATATGGTCTTTTGTTTCTCCACTTCCCACAGTTAACAAACGAAGAAATTCTGAAATATAATTTGTAACCATATGCTGATATTCACTAATAATAGTCAAATGCTTTATCAGTCTTAGTCCAGCCAGCTGTACATTTGAATTCAAGGGATAGGTGACTGTGTCTTCACAAACTTGGTTTAAGTATGTTTTCACCTTCCTATGATTTTCAGCAGCCACTGAGATGTTATTCAGTGCATTTAAAGCCTTCTGCCTAACACTGGGATAGGGATTATTGAGCAAACTTTCAATAATTGAGATTCTACCTGCATTACGAATGACTTCATGGGAAAAGGGATATTCAGGACTGTTATAAAGAGCATTATTAGCTATTTCATGAATAGAAGGATCTTCAGTCATCTCAATCATGCAAATGAGTTTTTCAAGCTCTCGTGGATCCATATTTGCTTCGCGTTTACAGCGACAGGTCCAGGGCTGAGTTTTCTCCTCATACCTGATCTGCTTTCTGAGCTCATCCTCAGGTGGAAAGCTGGACTTATTTTGGTATGGAAATTCCATTTCTGTCCAGATCATGGCTCCTGCCCATGACCCCATTCCTGCACCAGGGACCATGGATGGATATGTGCCTCTTGACTCAGCTGACTTTTTGGCTTTAGTCTTAGGTGCAGATTTGTCCTCACTACTGTTTTCATTACCATCCCAGAACCAAGACCTTTCATCAACTCCACCAGCAGTTGGTGCCTCAAGCTTACCCTTGGCATTGGCCTTATCTCCAGCTCCACACTCAAAATTGACATTTCTCTTCCTCTTGGGTCTGAACTCATTACTCCTCTCATTGTCAGCCCAAAACAAGGACCTTAAACTGATTTCCTCAATATCAGGGCTAGACGCTCTACTTAGCTCATCCTCATCTACATCCTCAGCCAAAATCCACGACTCCATGCAAGCCTCTTCCTCAGCCCCAAGCCTAGAGCCTGTAGTGGCTGCATCTCCATCCCAGAGCCAAGACTCCTTCCTGACCTCTGCCTCAGCCCCAGCCTCAGCCCCCACAAAGGAATCCATACAGGCTGCCTCTTCAGAGCTGATCCAGGACCCAATACTGGCCTTATCCTCAGCGCCAAATCTGGAACTAAGGATGACCTCTTCTTTAGCCCCTGATCGGGATTCAATATTGGCTTCATTTTTATCTCCAGGTTTGGATACAATACCAGCCTCTTCCCCTCTCCTGAAGCAAGACCCTGTACTAGTCTCACCCCCTGTCCTAAACCAGGATCTTTCGTTGGCCTCCATCTCAGCACTGATCTGGGGTCTTCCACTGGGCTGGTCACCAGCCCTAGCCCGGGTCCCTCCACTTGCCTGGTCCTCAAGCCCCAACCTAGATCTTTTACAGGCTTCATTATGAGGCCTAGACCCAGCCCACAATTTTCCACTAGCCTGGTCCCCAATGCCAGCCTGGGAGCCTTCTCTACCTGCTGGGTCCTCAAATCCAGGTTTGGAACAGCTATCGGCCTGAATCCCAGCCCCAGCCCAAGGCCTTCCACTGACCTGACTCCCAGTGCCAGTCCAGGACCCACCACTAGACTGGTTTGCAGGCCCTGGATTAGACCCTCCAACAACCTGGTCTTCAACACCAAACCAGAACCTTCCTTTACTGGTTTGATCCTCAAATCCAGGTTTGGGACAGCTACTAGCTTGATCTCCAGTCCCTCCCCAAGACCTTCCACTGACCCAACTTCCAGTATCAGCCCAGGACCCACCACTGGATGGGACCATGGGCCCTAGTCTAGATCCTCCAATAGCCTGGCCACCAGACCCACCCCAGGACCCACTTGCATTAGACTGACTCTCACTGCAAGCACAGAACCATCCACTGGACTGGTCCTCAGGCCCTGATCTACATTCTTCACTGGCCTGGTCCCCAGTGCCAGCCCAGGAATCTGCAATGGACTGGTCCCTGGGACTCAGCCTAGACCCTCCACCAGCCTGACCCCCATTGTCAGCCCAAGACCCTCTTCCACTTGCCTGCTCTTCAAATCTAGGTTTTGTCCCACCACCAGCCTGATCCCCAGGTACAGCCCAGGTCCCTCCATTGGCCAGGTCCATGGCCCCAACCAAGAACCCTCCACTGGCTTGGTCCCCAGAGTCACCCCAGGACCTTCCACTGGACTGGTCCTCAGGCCCCAACCTAGGCCCTCCATCAGCCTGGCCACCAACCCTAGCTAAAGATGCTTCTACATTTGCCAGATCCTCAAATCTTGGCTTGGACTCACCACCAGACTGATCACTAGTCCCAGCCCAGGAACCATCATCACTGGCCTGCTCCATAGTCCCAACCAAGAATCCTCCACTGGCCTGATTCCCAATGCTAGTCCAGGACCCAACACTAGACTGGTCCACAAACCCTGGTTTAAAACCTTTGCTGGCCTGTTCCCCAGCCCTAGCCCAGGACTCACCACCCGACTGGTCCGTAGGTCTCAGCCTGGAGCCTCCTCTAGCTTGGTCTGCAGTGTCAGCCCAGGTCACATTTTCACTGGCCTGATCCTCAAATCTAGGCTTGGATCCACCAGACAGACCACCAATCCCAACCCAGTACCCTCCACTAGCCTGGTCCATATCCCCAGGCCAATACCCAATATTAGCCACATCCCCAGCTTTAGCTTCAGCCCAGGACCCTCCATTAGCTTGAATTCCAGCACCATCCTGGGACCTTCCACTGGCCTGTTCCTCAGCTCCAGTCCAGGACCCTCCAATGGCATCTTCCCCAGCCCAGGACACCCTACTGGCCTGACCTCCAGCCCAGGACCCCCCAATAGCCTGGTTCCCAGTGCTAGCCCAAAAACCCCCACTGGCCTGGTTCTCAGCCCCAATCCAGGATGCTCCAATGGCCATGTCCCCAGCCTCTGACAAAGAACCCCCACTGGCCTGACTCCCACCCCAGAGCCCCCCACAGGCCTGGTCCCCAGCTGCAGCCCAGGATGGAAAACCAACTTCATTCTCAGCCTTAGCTCCAGCCCAGGACCTAATATCAGACTTAGGACTAGCTCCACTCCAGGACTCAATACTGGCTTCATTCTCATCATCAGCCCAGGACACACTATTCTCCCAGTATCCATCCCTGGCCTGAAACCTAAATTTGATCCATCGCTCAGAAGCAATCCAATCCTCAATACCAATCCCATTCCAGTAATAGTCATGGACCCTAGGCCGAGTCGTACTGCAGGTCTGAGTACCTGTCCCACTCCCACTCTCAGAAGCGAGCATGGCCTCAGACTTGGGCTTTGCATAACCCTCATCTCCTGTGGCTTCTGCCTCAGACTTGGGTATAGCCTTGTCCCTTGTCTCAGGCAAGATCTTACTCTGGAAATGCGCTGCAGACTGAGGCTGGCCAGAGCCCATCATATGTGCCCCAGCCTCCACCCTAGACTCAGCATTGGTATTTTCCCTGACCTTACTTCTGGCGCCAAGGAGGGCCTCACCCTGAGAAATGGCCATGGCCTGGGGTGAAAGAGAACCTACTGTATCTTGCCTATCCCTTGCCTTAAATACCACATTGAGATTGTCCCTGATCTTATTTCTGGCACCAAGCAAGTTTTCACCTTGGGAATTAGACATGGCCTGGGGTTGGGCAGTGCCTGTTTTATCTGTTTGAGGCTGAGCTGAACACATTATATCTGGCCCAGTGCCTGCCTTAGACATAGCACTGGGATTGCCCTGGACCTTACTCCTGGCAGCAGACAAAGTTTCACCTTGGGAATTAGACACAGCATGAGGCTGGGCAAAACTTGTTGTATCTGTTCTGGCCTCTACCTTAGACACAGCATTGGGATTGCTTCTGACCTTATTCTTGACACTAGGCAAGGCTTCACTCTGGGAACTGGCCACAGCCTGGGGCTGGGCAAAACCCACTGTATCTGGCCCAATCCCTGTTTTAGATGCAGCACTGAGAGTGCCCCAGACCTTATTCTTAGTGCCAGTTAAGACTTCACCCTGGGAATTGGCCACAGCCAGGGGCTGGGGGGAGCCTATTGTATCTGTTTGAGGCTGGGCAGGGCCCACTGTATCTGCCCCAACCTCTGCCTTCGACACAGCATTGGGATTGCCGCGGACATTCTTAGTACCAGAAAAAACTTCACCCTGGGAAGTGGCCACAGCCTGAGGCCAAGCAGAGCTCGTCATATCTGCCCTGGCCTCTGCCTTAGATAGAACTTTGGAATTGCCCTTGACCTTACTCTTATTACCAGACAAGGCTTCACCCTGGGAACTGGTCACAACTTGGAGCTCGGCAGAACCCACTGCATCTGCCCTGGTCTCTCCCTTACACACAGCACTGGGATTGCCCTTGACCTTATTCTTAGTACCAGATGAGTCTTCACCCTGAGAACTGGTCACATCTTGCGGCTGCACAGAGCCCACCGTATCTGGCCCAGTATCTGCTTTAGACAAAGCACTAAGATTACATGGAAACTTACTCCTGGCACCAGGCAAGGCTTCACCCTTGGACTCATCCTGAAGCTTGGCAAAGCTTGTTGTATCTGCTCTGCCCTCTACCCTAGACACAGCATTAGGATTCTTCACACCAGGCAAGGCTTCACACTGGGAAGTGGCCACAGCCTGGAGCTGGGCAGAGCCCACTGTACTTGGGCCAGCCCCTGTCTTAGACGCAATATTGGAATTTCCCCTGACCTTGTTCTTAGTCCCAGGCAAGACTTCACCCTGGGAATTGGCCACAACCTGAGGTTGGGCAGAACCTGCTAAATCTGGCCCAATTCCTGCTTTAGACAAAGCACTGGGGTTGCCCTTGACCTTTTTCTTGACACCAGGCAAGGCCTCACCCTGGGCATTCGCCACAGCCTGGAGCTGGGCAGATCCCACTGTAGCTGGCCCAGCCCCTATCTTAGACACAGCACTGGAATTTCCCTTGACCTTGTTCTTAGTCCCAGGCAGGACTTCACCTTGAGAACTGGCCACAGCCTGAGGCTGGACAGAGTTCACTGTATCTAGTCCAGCCCCTGTTTTAGACACAGCACTGGATTTACCCTTAACTTTATTCTTGATGCTAGGCAAGGATTCCCCTTGGGAATTGGCCATATCCAGGGTCTGGGCAGACCCTGTTGTATCTGTTTGAGGCTGGTCAGTGCCCATTGCATCTGCCCTGGCCTCTGCCTTAGACACAGCACTGGGATTGCCCCTGACCTTATTCTTAGTACCAGACAAGACTTCACCCTGGGCATTGGCCACAGCCTGGAGTTGGGCAGAGCCAACTGTATCTGGCCCAGCCCCTGCCTTAGACAAAGAATTGGATTTGTCTCTGATCTTATTCTTGGTACCACGCAAGGCTTCACCCTGGGCATTGGCCATAGCCTGGAGCTGGGTAGAGCACAATGTATCTGGCCCAGCCCCTGTCTTAGAGATGGCATTGGACGTGCCTCTGACCTTGTTCTTAGTACCAGGCAAGGCTTCACCGTGGAAACTGGCCACAGCCTGGGGCTGGGCAGAGCCTATTGTATCTGTTTCATCCTGGGCAGAGCACATCGTATCTGACTCAGTCCCTGCCTTAGACACAACATTGGGATTGCCCCTGACTTTGTTCTTATTACCAGACAAGGCTTCACCCTGAGGACTGGCCACAGCCTGGAGCTGTCCAGAGGCCAATGTATCTGGCCCAGTCCCTGCCTTAGACACAGCATTGGGATTGCCCCTGACCTTATTCTTAGGTCCAGACAAGGCCTCACCCTGGGAACTGGCCTTAGTCTGGGGCTGAGCAGAGCCTGCTGTATCTGTTTCAGGCTGGACAGAACATATTGAATCTGGCCCAGGCCCTACCTCAGACATAGCATTGGGATTGCCCTTGACTTTATTCTTAGTTTTAGGTGACGTTTCATCCTGAAAAGTGGCCACAGCATGATTCTGGGCAGAGCCCATTGTATCTGGTCCAGCTCCTGACTTAGACATAGTATTGGAATTGCCCCTGACCTTATTCTTGGCACCAGGCAAGGCCTCACCCTGGGAACTGGCCATAGTCTGAGGCTGCCCACAGGCCCTCAGTTCTGCTTTAGCCCCTGACCTAGAAATAGCATTAGGATCACCCCTGCCATCAACCCTGGAATCGGGTAAATCATCAGCTTGGGTCTTGGGCCCAACCTGAGGCTGCACGCTGGTTTTCATTTCTATCCCGACTCCTGCTTTACGCTTGCTTTTGCCTTTTCCCCTTGTCTTACCTCTAGTACCAGGTAAGGTCTCAACCTGGCTCTTGGTGGAAGCCTGAGACTGTGCCTTTGTGTCTGTCCCAGCCGCCTCCTTAGACATGGTGTTGGCATTGCCTTTAGCCTTAATCCTGATATCAGGCAAGGCATCAGCCTGGACATTGGCCCCAGGCTGAGGCTGTGTATAGAGCTCCATGTCTGTCCCAGCCCCCATCTTAGACATGGCATTGGGATTGTCTCTGGTCTTAACCCTGGCATCAGGCAAGGCCTCAGCCTGGGAACTGGCCCTCAGGTTTGCCCTGGCCCCTGTTTTAGACAGAGCACTGGAGTTGCCTCTACCTTTAAGCTTGGTGTCCAGCGTAGCCTCAGTCTGAGCACTGACTATAGCTTGAGGGTGAGCAGCAGCCCTCATGTCAGCTCCAGCCATTGCCTTAGATGTGACATCAGTATTTCCCCTGTCATCAACCCTGGCACCAAACACTGTCTCGATCTGTTTCTTGGCCACAGTCTGAGGTTGCATAGGAACTCTCATATCTGCCCCTGCCCCTGCCTTACACAGGGCATTGGTATTAGCCCCAGCATCAACCTTTGCCCCAAGCGTAGCCTCAGCCTGGGTCTTGGCTATAATCTGAGGCTGGACAGAAGCCCTCGTGTCTGTCCTAGACTCTGCCCGAGACACGGTTTTGTGTTTCCCCTTGACCTCAACCCCAGCACCAGGCACATTGTTGACCTGGCTCTTGGTTACAGCCTGAGATGGTGTACAGGACCTCATGTCTGCTCCAACTTCTGCCCTGGATGAGACATTAGGATTTCCCTTAGCATCAACTGTGTTACCAGGCCTGGCCTCAGGCTGACTCTTGGCCACACTCACAGTCTCTTCCGGGGCTCTTGTCTTGGTCTCAGCCACAATTCCAGTCTTACTTATGGCACCCATCTTGGCCACCTCCCTGGTCACTCCTAAGGCCTCACTCTGGGTCACTGTCACTCTGTTCGTCTCTTTTTCAGCCAGTATATGAGCTTCCACTTTGGTCTGGGTCATTACTTCTTTCTTGGTCTCTGCCCTGGCAGCCAGTGGCCAAACTTTAGCCTTGGTCTGGGTCACAGCCTCTCTCCTGACTACTCTCCCAGCCTCAGAGTCAGTTTGGGTCACGGCTTCTTTCATAGCTACTTCCCCAGCTTTGACCTGGGCTTCAGTCAAAGTCACTACCTCTGTCATGCCCACTTTTCTGGCCACTATTTTGGCCTCAGATTGTATCTCTGCCTCTGCCTCAGCCATTGTCATGGCCTGAGAGCTGGCTTTGGGTCTAGCTTTAGCAGTGGTGGTAATCTCTACTTCAGCCCCAGCCCTCCCTCCTGTTTCAGCTTCTGCTCCAGATGTGGCCTTGGGTCTAGTCTCAGCCTCTGTCCCACCCATGGCTTTACCTGTGGCCAGGGTCTGGTTCTGCACCCCAACCACGGTCCCCATCTTGACCCTGGACCCATTTTTGGCAAGTGTCCTCACACTCTGGACTCTTCCTTTGGTTAATCTGTAAAGGTAGTAGCAGGTACCAGCCCAAACCACCAGTCCTGCAGTCACCCAGCACACTTCCTGAACGCGGCCCATGTAATCACCCCTAGTAAAGTCACGAACAAGGCACAGGGGGCTCAATCAGGATGGGGAAAGAGGGTAGTAGGTCTGGGTGTAGGCCTGTGAGGGCGCTGGTCTTCAGCCACTTAAAGGCCACTACAGCTGCCACTGGAGGTGGACCTAGAAGTGGAGGAAGGAAATGGACTAAAATTTCTCTTCTACTTTGTGCCTCATACAGATAGATACACAGAAGGACAGGAAAGTGTAGAAATGATGTGCATGGTGTGAGAAGAGGATGATGAGCCGACTCTCTCTCCATCCTTTTTATTTTCTCCCCTCCCATTTTCCCTAGTGCCCAACAACTTTCCCCTAAGGTACATCCACACACATTTTATTACACCAAATGAAAAATGAAAAAGATGGTGGGGGAGGAACTATGAATGGGAGAAACTGAGAAGCCCTCAGACCTTGATTTTTACTGGACCTATTCTCTTCACCATTCCCGAAGGTCCCCATCCTCATACTAACCTGTAATGATCAAGGCAGTTCCCTCCTCTTTCCTTCTCTTGATTGGTGATATACCCTAAAGTAGATCTATTAACTCATGAGATCTGTGGACCTAGAGACAGACAGACAGACAGACGGAGGGACAGATGGTACTGGAGATTTTGTTCTTGATGTGACAGGCATATTATCAAACTACCTTTCTATCTCTCTCAGTTCACCCCACTCTCTGTACCAAAATACAGGCAAGAGTATGACAGGGATGGTGGGAAAGGGAGAGGCAAAGGATCCTCCAGACTGGACACTGACCACACTGGATGCACGCTGATCTCCACCAGCCCACTGTAGAGGTCTACCCAGGCAGTTCCCATCCTCTTACCAGTCTATACTGATCAGGGGTAATTTCCTCCTTGTTTCTTTGCTTCCAGTAATCTCAAGCCCCCCTACAGCAGACCTGCAGGAAGATCTATGGACAAGCAAACAAACGGGGGGTAATAGACACCAAGTCCTCACAGAACACACAAGCACCCTGATCCCTGATCCCAGTATCTGCCTTGGCAGATCCCATGTCCAGTTTGCTATTGTGTCCCATCTTGAAAGCCCTCCTTTCTAGTCCTCTCTCAGTCACACTCCAGCCCACCCCTACCCCAATATGCCTCCTGTTTCCTGCCCTGAAATCAGCAGGGATGTAGCAACACTGTGGACACAGGGGAGAGTGTAGGAGAGGCAGAAGTACCATACTGAGACCCTCTCAAGTCTCAGCCACCTTCTGTGCTCACCTTCTTGTTATCCCCAGGTGCTGCCCACCTTCACACAAACCTTCATGGTTCCAGGCCAGTCTCCCCCTTTCCCTGGCTTCCAGCCCTACTGTAGGTCTATGGGAGAAGACCTAGGAACAAACAGAGAAAAAGGGGAGGGTAACTGTTGAGTGCTTGTGACATCCCAGCATCTAAAACAGGGGTTCCGGCACCTGCCTTACTAGATCTAGAGACACATTCTCTGGCAAGCAGAACTTGGGGCTTTCCTAGCGCTGAAAGGGGCAGCATGTAAAAGGGGGGCAGGAGAAATAAAAGGGAAGAGACAGGGGCAAATTATTTTAAAACCACCTGTAGGATTCTAAGGTTTCTCCCAAAAATCCATCAGTTCCTTCACCAAGGTGCTCAGACAGGCGGGGGAATCTGGAAAATGGAGAGAGAGATGGAGCCCCCCATCCCCTACTCTAGAATCAAACAGAGCCTACCGCCATCTACTTCACCCTAAACCCATCTCTAGGAGTCTCCAGCAAAAGAGACAAGGGGTGAGAAGGCTTTTTCTTCTGCAAAATCGCTATCCCTCCCAGCAAAGGCTATCTCAAAGAACAAGTAATGTTCTTTAATACAACAATTTGTATTTTCTTAATAGTATCTGAAGTGCAAATGAAAGCATCCATGTAAAAGTTTGTTGTCTTTACTGGTCTTCAACATACAATTTAAGTTAAAAACCCTAAGCTTAGCAAGTAAACGTGATTTAGGGAAAGTCCCCCCTAGTTAGCCCCAGCCCATGTCCCAACCAGACAGCGGCGCCTAAGTTCCTGTGCAGGAGAATTCCTAAAGAACTTCAAATGTTCAGAGGCAGGGCGTGCTCACACTAACCTCCACAGATCCCGTGCAGTTTTCTTCTCTCCTTCTTCCCTTGCCTCGCCACAAACAGTGCCACACGGAACTACTGTCCATCAGACGGGAGAAAGTAAAGGCACTGAGTGCTTGGACCAGCACCCCGGACACAGATCCCAATACCCACCTTTCGGGATTCAGAATCCCGGTTATCAAACGTCCCTCCCCGCATTCCCAGACGCCACCCCCACCAACTCCACAGTCCAGTCACCAAGGCCCACCATTTTCTCTGTAAATGCCACGGTGGCATGTCCCTTCCACTGAAATGAGCAGGAAGCTGGGCGGACGTGTGCGGTCAGCGATTAGAGTCAGAGAGGATGGGACATCTCAATCTGTGCATTTCCCTCTAGAGACACTTCCCCGCCCCCCACTCCCCAGCCATCCGCCCTGTCAGAGCCCAAGGTTTCCCCCGCAAGGACGGAGGCAGGGGGAGGGGACTCGGGAGAATCACAGAGAAGGCTCCTGGAACTTAAACCCTCTTTGTCCCCCATCACCGAACTGGCTACCAAGGTAGGCCGACCACTGCCGCCCTGGCCTCGGCGCGCAGGCCCCAGGAGCCCTTACCTGCTCCGCTTTCCTCGGGCCCAGTGCCAGCCCGCCAGGCGCAGGACAGCGGGGAACCGGTACCCAGACGCGAGTGACGACTGCACCGAAGGCTGCGTCGCTCTGCAGCTCCAGGTCACGTGAGGGCCCCGCGTCACCAGCGAGCTCTCTGCCCACCCATCCCCACCCGCTTCGGCCTGTGGGAGCTCTACCTGACCCTGTCCCCCACCTCCGCCCTTCCCAACTCCCCCTCCACCAGTCTTCGAGCTGAGCCCCAGAGCGCACCTCCTAGTCACTCAGCTGTCCTCTCCAATCTGAGGCGCGACTAGTGAGTGGTCTCACCTCTTTGCGCTTGGGGTTTACCCTTCTCTGATTACTGGGGAGGGTCTGCATATCACCCTCCCCTGGCCTTGGTTCTGGCCTTTTCTCTGCTTAAAGGAATCCTCTCTTTCCCTCTTAGGCTGTAAGACTAACACTCCCCATCGGGTACGTCGCTGCACCAAAATGGGCTAGGGAAGGGGTGTCGGGAAAGGAAGCAGAGAGTGCAAGTAGATGCTTAACTTTCTTTTTTTTAATGTTCTTTCCGCCCCCCCCCAACCCACGCTTTTAAAATCGCATTCATTGTTTTTGTAATTGGGAAATGCAGGCAAGTTATTTTCATTCGACATTTAAAAATTAGGTAGTAAAAATAACAAAAGACTCATTTCTTCACATTATTTTGTGCCTCATTAATTGCTATAAACGATTTCAGTTTTCAACACATACTAGTAATTATTGACATTTTGTGTACAAAATTTTCCTAAACAAAACCAGCACGTTTTCAATGTGATCTATTAATTGATCTGCGTAAAGACATTCCATTTTCTAAAACTGGCAATTCCCCACAAGCAATTTACAACCTTTTGAAGTTCTGGCTGAACTTACTATGATCTTCTGTCAGATGTCTGAGAACTTCCTCACAGATGACTCTTGGATGATTGAGTGAAGACCCAACTCTTGATGAACCCAGTGCCTAAAAACTGATGACTTCTCAGATTAACCTGCTTTCCATTCAAGGGACTTTATTTGGATGTTACACAAGCGTGGGATCAAATCGGTCTCATCACACACTGGACAGGACCAACTGCTCTTCCACTGAGGGAAATGAGGCTTAGCATGTGAAATTTTCACTTAATCATGACACTGGTGAGATAGCTCCGGAATCTGTTGTTTGGTACTGTATGTTTGTCACCCTAACAGCCACTAGTGCTCAGCGTCTTCCAGTGAAGACAGTGCTGAGAGTCTGTGGGTGACTGTGAATCACTTTGACACCCCTGAAATCTGTGCCATTTTTCCCTCACGAAAAGCATAGTTGACAGGATGCCAAGCAGTCACCACCGGCTGAGAGAGGCCTTTTCACTCCCTGCCTTCTGTTACAAGTTCACTGCACCACCCATACAAGCCCCTCAGAATAATCCCAGAACTCAAGGACAAAGTATGCAGAAGTTAGTCCCCAGACATTCAGCTGTCCCTGCTAGGGAGTCATACTCTAAATATAGACCCTTTAGGCAGCCTCTTTCTTTGAATGCTGAAATCTGACACCCCAGCAGGAAGCTCTCCCTGTGAGGGGTCCCTGTGTGGGGGAGGCCCCTCTAGGAAGGGAGCCAGGGGGCCCAGAGTGCCAAAGGACCTTTCTAATGACTTTTCTGAGCTCAGTCGCCATAACCAACTTAAATTCTCCATCGAAGGGAAAGATTCAGAAATCGGTTACATAAACTTTTAAAACCTTAGGCAAGTAAAATACAAAACCCCTAAGCATAGGCTGACAAGTGGCTAATTTGTAATAATCTAAAAACTTACAAATCACTAGTAAAATGATAACCCAGTAGAAAAATGTGCCAAAGACCTCAATGGATTTGTTCACAGAAATCAAACACAAATGACTGATAAACATGAAAAGATGCTAACTTCAAAGAAAGGCAAATCCAAACAATTATATCTTATCTTGTTTCAGCTAGGCATTTGTAAGAATACAGAAATGTGAGGGATGCCTGGGTGGCTCAGCTGTTTGAGCATCTGACTCTTGGTTCAGGCTCAGGTCATGATGTCAGGGTATTTGCTTGAGATTCTCTCCCTCTCCCACTGACCCTCTTCTCTCTCTCTCTCTCTCTCTCTCTCTCTCTCATAGATAATTAAATCCTTAAAAATATAGATGGATAGAATTTTGATAATACTGTTGATTGGTTTGTGAAGAAATGGGCACTCCCATACTCTGTTGGAGGCAGGTTACTCTGCTGCAACCTTTTTTGGGTTGGCAAAAATCTATTAAATGATAAATATAATATCACACAAATTCTTTGACCCAGCAATGCTATTACTAAGGATTTAACCAGTGTATATATCTGCACAGTTTCTCAAAGATATGTGTGCATTTCATAAAGGATATCTATTGCAGTACCCATAAAGGTTAAAAAAAAACTGAAGAAACATAAAGAGAAAGGTTAAATACATTATGTTAAATATACAATATGGTTGGTAAAAAGAAAGATTTAGTTCTGTGTATCCTGATAGAAATATACTTAGGGTATTTTATTATTTGCTGTTTATTTTCTGTAATTACATGCAAATTTCACAAGAATATATTCTAGTATAAGAGTCAAACCCAGAAAAACACTAGTACCACTTTAACTCCACTATCCTCATCCAAAGTACAGTTACCTTCCCATTGCTATAAATTTGTTATGTTTAATGATTTTCTATACATTATATATACATGCATATCTTACTAAATATATATGGGATTATATTTAACATACTGTTTTGCAACTCATTTTTTCCATTTAAAATTATATCTCAGAGAGCTCTACATACCAATACTTTTATTTTTTTTAAGATTTTTATTTATTTACTTGAGAGAGAGAAAGAGAGCATGACGAGCATGCATGAGGTGGAGGTGCAAAGGAAGAGGAAGCGAGAATATAGCAGGATATAGCAGACTATACCCTAGGTATAACAGACTATACCTTGAGTGCAGAGCCCAGCACGGGGCTCAATCTCACAATCCTGAGATCAGGACCTGAGCCAAAATCAAGAGTTGGTCACTTAACTTCCTGTGCCACCCAGGCACACCCACATACCAGTACATTTAAATATGTTTTATTATTTTTAACTGCTATGTACTATTCCATAGCTTGGCTATGCTATTGTTTATCTAATTTCATTTCCCAACACCCCACTGATGAACATAAAATTATTCTGGGTCTGGGTCTAACAAAATCAAGGCTACAGTGAGAAATCTGATACCCACAGATGGAAGGATTTCTTTAGGCTATTCTGATATAAATAAAATTTATTTACATTTAAGGGTATGAGATTTTATACATTCAGTACTGCCCAAGAAAGGAAAAGAGTTGTTATATATTTAATGGGTATACCACCAAACTGCCCTCCAAAGACACTGGGCAATTTACACTCCTGTCAAGCACATGACAAGCACTCCATCCCCATGCTCTCATGCACACTGTAAATTAATAATTAGTGTCAATTTAAGAGACACAAAAATGTATGAGGTTGTCCTTTTAATTCACATTTTCCCAAATAGCTATAATCTTTAGCATTGTTGCATATGTTTATTGGTCATTTGTATTTCTTCATTGAGCATTAGTTGTTTATATCCTTTGAGTATTTTTTTCATTCAGCAATATTTTTCTCACTACTTGTAGTTCCTTGTGCATATACCTATACAATAGCTGTTTTTCTCTTATATAAGTTGCACATATAATTCTCCCAAACTGTCACTGACATTTTAATTTTATGGTATTTTTTGATACCAGAATTTTTATATTTTGATGTAGTCAAATATATCAACTTTTTCCTGTATAGCTTCTGGGTTATATAAGCTATGTATATTTGAATTTAAACACATATGTATAGATATGATATATATGTGGGTGTATATATATATATATATTCAAATATATGTCCAAATTCCAATACAATTCACGTAACAGTCCATTATTCCTCAACTAATTTAAAATGACTTGTGCTAGGGGTGCCTAGAGGGCTCAGTCAGTTGAGCACCTGACTCTTGATTTTGGCTTAAGTCATGATCTCAGGATCCTGGGCACAAGCCCAACTTTGGGCCCCACACTCTGTTCAGAGGGGTGGGGAGGTGGGGCAGTCTGCTTGAGGAGTCTCCCTGTGCCCCTCCCCCAATCGCTATATTTCTCTCAAATAAATAAATCTTTAAAATATAAAAGAAACTACTTATGCTAAATTCTTACTTATACTCAGACATGTTTCATGGATTGACTTTTCTGTTCTGCTGATATATATGTGTGTGTGTACATATACATGTATGTCTGTATGTGTGTGTATATATGCATACGTATGTATGTATATATGTGTATATAACTGCCTCAATAGCATGCTTGGAATCAGTATAGCTTTGCAGCAAGTTTAGGTGTCTGGGAGGAAAAATCTTTCATTTCTTTTTCATTTCTTTCATTTCTTTTTCATTTCATTTCTTTTTCAAACTGTTTTTGGATATGCTTGGGCATTTCAAATAAAGTTCCAAGTTTCATTTTTTTTAAGATTTTATTTATTTATTTGAAAGACAGAGATCACAATTAGGCAGAGACACAGGCAGAGAGAGAGGGAGGAAGCAGGCTCCCCACTGAGCAGAAAGCCCGATGTGGGACTCGATCCCAGGACCCTAAGACCACGACCTGAGCCGAAGGCAGAGGCTTTAACCCACTGAGCTACCTAGGCACCCCCCCAAGTTTCATTTTTTAAAAAAAATCCTGTTGGGCTTCTATTACAATTGCATTGAGTTTATAGATTAACTTAGGGAATAATTAAAATCATAATAATAAATTATTATTTCATCCCGAGTCATGTATTTTTTTTTTAATTTTTTTTTTTAGAGTGTGTGTGTGAGAGGTGTGCAGAGGGGTCTGGGAGAGAGAGACTCTCAAGTAGGCTCCACATTCAGCAAGGAGCCCAACACAGGGCTGAATCTCAAGACCCTGAGTTCATGACCTGAGCTGAAGTCAAGAGTCAGACACTTAATGGACTGAGCCACCCAGGTGCCCCAATATATTTTTTAAGATTTTTAAAATTTATTTATTTGACATACAGAGATCACAAGTAGGAGACATGCAGGCAGAGAGAGAGAGG